AGCTCCTGGGTGGGGGCGCCGCTACCGAGGTATGGCCGCCATGGCCGAAAAAAAATCTCATCAAACTTTATGAACTGGCCGACTTGAGCAGCTGTAGGCACGGAACCCTCCACCGGCACAATCATGAGTAACCTCCCCTCCGACGAAGCTCGCCCGAAAAAGATCCACCAGAGAAAATCTACCCATGGCTCCATCCCAAAGAAGGCCTCGCAGATCAGATCCGGCATCACCTCCAGTCCGACATCACGCTCCAGGTTCATAAAAGGATTTGTAAGTCCTCCTCCTCGCTCACTCTCTCTCCCACTTAGGAACCACCGCGGCATACAGGCACTCTCGGTGAGAAGGAAGGAGGAAGAGAGACAATAGTTGGAGAACAAGCAAAAGGACTGCGACGGAGAGCCCTCTCCCTCCCCCTATTTAAAGAAGAAAAGCAGACGAAAACCTGAACTCGCGTAACGGCTTCAGATGGCTTCACTGCGCTCCAATAAACCCTGGGACCGTGACTCCTAAACTCGCGTAACGGCTTCACTTCCGACTGCGCTCCCAGGATCCACGAGCTCCGGCTTGTCCAAAACCTGAACTAACTAAACTAACTCCCTCGGCCCACGGCGCGCACCGACACCTGGTCCGTTCGTGGCTCCACCTCGCTCGATCCCATGGCACGCATCGACGCCAAAGACCAGTGAGCTCTGACACGTCCGAACTGAGCTATCAATGTCTGTGGCGCGCACCGACGCCAGCGTTTTCTCTGAACTAACCTTCTCACCCGATCCGTGGCGCGCACCTACGCCGGGATCAGTAAATTCTGTCTCATCCACGCCTAAAAATCCCCTCGGCTGCACAATGACGTCGTGGTTAAAACAAAAAAAAACGTCTCAAAACTAAAAACATACACACACGCCCGCTGAAACAACACCCCCCAGATGGTTCTGCCCGAACCGCCCGGGGGCTCAGGGGCTACACCCGCGGGTGCGCTCGCGCGCACCCGCCGACACAACAGAAAAACCTCCCCCGTTGACAACGCAGAAAACCCCCCAACCGGTTCTGCCCAAACCGCCCAGGGGCTCAGGGGCTACACCCGCTGGTGCGCTCGTGCGCACCCGCTGGCAAGACAAAAATCCCCCGGACAATTTTGCTCAAATCGCCCGGAGGCTCGAGGGCTCCTGTCGGGTTCATAAACCCGGGGTCCCTCGGGGACCGGCTTCTACGCCAGGGCTCGGCCCAAGAAAACAGCATGTAGTTCGTGGGCCGGCCCAAGAGCCTAAAACACAATGGGCCGGAGGGACAGTCCGATCGCCGACCGAAAGGTCTACCCAAAAACAAGCGCTCGCTCATCAACCTCTCCGGCCCACCTCTCCGATCGGAGCATTCGCTTTGGGCACCAGCCGCCTCCGGGCAGTCTCTCCGATCGGAAGGCCTGGACCAAAACGTCGCTTCCTACTCCGACCCCGCATCTCCGACCGGGGACCCCGTAGGATGCCTGCTTACCACTTTTCTCCGACTGGCGCGGCCAGGGCCGACTGGGGCCATCCGACCGGGGACACCTGCTCGGAAGGGACCAGGGGCAAACTGAGAATGCAGTGCACAAAGTCAAACCACGATACCGGGACCATACCCTGTACGCCTGCGGAAACAGTACTCCTCAACCGCCCTGACACAAACAGTATTATAGGCACCGACATTTGTGTCTACAGTATTGTATGCGTCATTGGGCTCCCATACGGCAAAAAGCCCCCCGCATACCTCTGGGCATCGATAGTAGGCGTCAGGGTTCACCATACCTGTTACACAGGATAGGGCTCCTCACATACCAATAGTATTTTGCAGGTACCGACATCCACCCTTCCTGAAGAAGCCAACGCAACCTCCCATGTGCACCTGACATTCTACAGTGACATCAACAGTATTGTGGACGCCTACCATCATCGCTACCCTCGTCTGCGTGGGCAACAAAGCTTAGAAACATCCGTACTCTCTCCCTCTCACCTGTAAAGCCATCCCCTTTATCTATAAAAAGGGGATGCGCTCCCTCCAACGAGAGGTCTACTTCTTCAAGTTCAGGCTCACTAGATCGATAACTCAAAAACCTCTCAAGCACACGCTTGAACACCTAGCTTATAGCGGAGTTCCGGTCGCCCTCGGCCCTTTCAGTCGGACCCAACTGGCCCTCTCGTACACCCCTCCTTTCTCCTTCTCGTTTGTAACCCCACTACAGACTTTGAGCACCTGGGCTCAGGAATAAAGTCACCGACCGACCCACACTAGACGTAGGGCAGGTTGCCTGAACCAGTATAAATCATGTATCATTGAGTGCTAGGCCACCTCCGATCACAACGTATAGAAAAACTACAAATATTCACTAGTTGGTCACTTTCTTAACCGACAGTTACTCCCTAATCCCAAATTATATGTCATTCTAACTTTTTTGAAAGTCAAAGCTTCTTAAGTTTAACCAAACTTATATAATAAAATAATGATATTTATGATGCCAAATAAATATTATTAATTTTTTTATTAATTATATTTTTATAGTATACATATTTGATGTTATAAATCTTTTCAATTCTCTATAATTTAAGTCAAACTTAAGATGCTTTAACCCTCGAGAAAGTTATAACGACTTATAATTTGGAACGGAGAGAGTAGTTAACAGGGTCGCCTCTTCAAGATCAAGGGCCGCTGCCAGCTTTGTGCCGAAAAGAAAGGCTTGAGTTTCTGCCTCCAAGAGATCCAAAGCTTTTGGAAAAGCCACTTGAAAAAAGAAGCATGCGAGAGGCTTCTAGGAGATTGAGTTAGAATCAAAACGATAGTGCTTGTCTTGCTATTTGGATTAGTGCCTTGAATGGCCACCGAGGCATCACAGAAAAATTTTAGGCCCATACATTGTTTGCAAATTAGATCCGTAGAGATAATCTGTAATGGTAGATGCAGAAAAATCTTGTGTTGGAGGATTTAAATCAGAGTCAACCTCAGCTGCCAAAGAGTAGGCACTGTTAGTTGCTTTAGCCTTATACGTATAAGACTCTTCGCACCGACCAGTCTATGTTATTAAATATGGGACCGTTTCTAGCGTTCAAAATTCACCAAAAAATAGAAACAAACAAATCTGCAGTAGCTTGAGATGCTCGTAAAGTCATAACGGCCTGTTTCTCAGTTGACAGGTGCATGGGCCAAAGAAGCCTTCTCAACTCGCTAAACGGCCCAACGATTCTCTGTGGACTGTGGCCCACTCCATCTAAGAAACAGTTATCACGGTCCTGGGAGTATCGCCACTTGACTCGTGGGCGTGGTTTCTATCGTCACCCGAGGGTGTCTGTAATTCTCATACTCCACTGTAATTAGGGATTTAGGGTGGCGTTTGTTTCTTGCTAAAAAAGACTTGACTCGTGTTAGGCATCAAGCATAAACATAAATGCTATACAACACATATTTGTTTTAGCGCAAAAAAAAACACATGGATATTTTTTCCCTCTCTCCCTCTCTCTTTTCAACTGTAGTCGACGTGACGGAGCGGGTCGCAATACCAGTACGTGTTCCAAGGAGCGGGTCGTCGACGTGACGGAGGCTACTGCCGACTGGTCATAGCAGTCGACGTGATGTGACGGAGCGGGTCGTAGCAACAGAGGTAACTGCCGACTAGGAACATTTTTTTGTCCTTGCATAGAAAAAAATTGTTTCTTGTGATATGTGGATCTGTGATCTTGTGATTTGTGATTGTCTAGAGGTAGAAGAAGGCTGGAGGTAGAAGAGGACTGGAGGTAGAAGGAGGATGGAGGCTGTTGGATCTTAATTCTATGGTAAAAAAAATTCATGTGTTGAAACTGCATAAAATACATGGTTGTTGGGTAGACACACTCTTAGGTTTATGGCAGCTCCACCTAGGTCCTTCTCTCTGCTGCCATGGGAAATCCCAGGATTCTTCCCCTTAAAAACAACATAGCAATTTCTCATTTCTCTAAAATAAAACAATGGTTGAGCCAAAGCCTTATTTGTAACATGAAACTGCACATGTTTGTGTCCCTTGCTCAAAACTGCCATAGCCTCAGTCAAATGTAAGGAATGAAGCTTGCTATGAGTGCGAAACTTGAAGATCTACGGTTTGGGATGAAACAAATCGTTGATCTCAAATTCCTCACTGATGACTTGCATCATCAATATCATAACAACAATTTTGACATCACTGGCATTAAATAAAAACTGTGGCCTTAGCTTTAGAATGTGGTGGTGTTATTCATATCAGTTAAGTCAATTGGTGGCTGCTGTACATCCAGTGGAACATCATGGTAAAGACTGCAGGCAACAGAAGAGACAAACAAGTGCAAACACAAGGTCATAGCTGCCATGGAACCCGTGTGCACGTCCATTGACTACCATCAGCATAAGAAAGAAGGTGTTGTTGCTAGGAAATGGACGTTTCACATGGCTTTGATGACAGTCATGCATAAGAACAAGAATCAAGCAAATAAGCAGCCACCTCATCTACATGTTTGCATCATAGGCCATTTTAATTTTCCCTCATATACCACCAAGTCAAAGAAACAAAGCCAAGCAAATAACTGGACAGATCATGGAAAAAGAAGCTTATCAGTTCAAAAGTAAGACAATAAGCAAGTAAAATGTGTCAAATAATGTAGCCAACAGAGGCTACAAATAGTGCCTTACAACAACTTGTTCAGCCCAACAGATCAGGGCTCAAATGATGTCCATGGTACCCAATGTCACATATTGTTAACCACCCTCTCAGTAAAACAATCCCAAAAGGACATGTGTGAGTCAGCCAAGTAACCTGCACAAAAGACCTACAGCAAACTGTGCCCAGTTGTAGTCAAGAGAAGAGAGAGTGGGTGAGGGAGGTGGAGGAACTATACATCTCAACAGTCAACCCCGTCACTGGCCATGCAGCTCAGCAGGAAGTGGAACTACATGTAGTAGTTCTTGGCTAGGTAGTTCCTAAGCCAAATGTCCCTATGGCTGTCACTCATACCAATAAAGCCCCTGCCTTAGGCCTTGTTGTCCAGCCTTGGACCCTCTACCTTAGCAGCAATACTATCAGCCTGGTTGGCCCCTAGGGCTTCACCAGAAGCAAGTGCAAACCTACCAGTGGCCATAGCATGGCTAAAGATGGACTCCATCTCAGTGTAGAACCTTATAGGACAGTTTAGAAACTCTGCATCTTTAGGATGGTCCTACAGTAAGGCGAGAGAGACGGGGAGGATAGAGTTTTAGACAAGTAATTGAAAGATAGGTACAAGGAGACATAGGAAAGAAATCAAAGTTCTACCTTGCAGTGGCCAGGGTAGTGCTCCAGCTAAGCATGATAGCATTAGTGTCACTATCCCACAGGGCCCCACTTAGGTCCTTGAGCTTACAGACCCTAGACCACTTCTGCCTCCACTTCCTCAGGTGGTTGTACACCTAAGTTGGGCTCACTACCTTCCCACTGTACTCCTTAAGGGTTTTGGCAACATGGTTAACATCTTTATCCTTGAAGACTTTGTTAGGCCTACTACCATCACTAACAAGTTGAGCTATCCTCCTAAGGACAAAGCCAGAGGTGTTGTTGTTTCACCTCATGGCCCTAGGACCCCCTGCACCAGCACCAGCAGCACCAACACTAGCTGCAGCTACTGCACCAGCACCAGCTGCAACAACAACAGCAACAACACCCCCAACAGCCCATTGACTACATCAGAAGCAACCACAAACCCACCCTGGGCACCAAGCACATCAACTGGGAGTGAAGCCATCCTATTTGGTATTCCAATTAGAAAGTAGGAGAATAACATCAAAATCATAATTAGACATAAGCTATGGCCATGGGACACACCCATACAACAGCAGCATCATAGTTCATCTATGCTGCTACCACTGTATGGATGTGTCTCATGGCCATAGACCAGGTGTCGGTGCAGAAAGTGACCAACATGTAAATATTTGTAGTTTTGTCGTACGTTGTGATCGGATGTGGCCTAGCACTCAATGACACAGGGTTTATACTGGTTCAGGCAACGTGCCCTACGTCCAATTTGAGTCGGTCGGTGACTTTATTCCTGAGCACTAACACCCTTGAAAATGTTTGTGAAAATATGCTAACACACATGTGCACAAGGTGATACACTTGGTGGTTGGCACATTTGAGCAAGGGTAGGAAACTTTACCGGCGGTGCCACCGGCGCCCTAGATAGAAAAGACGGAGGTCACTGTAAGTGACCAGACGCTGGTCACGGTTAGACCGGCGTGTCTGGTCAGTGGCAGCAGAGGGCGTGCGTTTTGGTCTCATGATCGGACGCTGGGTCGCTCAACGATCGGACGCTGGAAGACTGCGTCCGGTCATGCTGACGTAGCAGCACAGGGGAAGACACCATGTGATCGGATGCTGGCTGTGTTCAGTCAAGCATGATCGGACACGTCCGATTGGAAAAATCGTTTCTGGAAGCTTATTGGAAACTACCGGACACTGGGGGTTCAGCGTCCGGTCACTGTTAGCTGCTGTGTCCGGTCGTCTTCTTGACCGTTGAGATCAGGCGATCGACTTTTGAAGAGAGGGACACGTGGCGTGCATCGCGTGACCGAATGCTGAGGTCCAGCGTCCGGTCAATATGACTGGAGCGTCCGATCACCCCGCGTTGTGCCCAGTGAAGGGGTACAACGGCTCTATTTCGTGGGGGCTTCTATTTAAGCCCCATGGCCAGCTCAAGCTCACCCTCTTGGTCATTTGCATTGACATAGCAACCTTGTGAGCTTAGCCAAAGCCCTCCCACTCATCTCCATCATTAATTCATCATCTTTGTGAGATTGGGAGAGAATCCAAGTGCATTGGTTGAGTGTTTGCATCTAGAGGCACTTGGTGTTTGTGTTTCGCTGTAGGATTCTCTTGTTACTCTTGGTGGTTGCCGCCACCTAGACGGCTTGGAGCAGCGACGATCGTCGAGCGGAGGGTGGTGATTGTCTCCGGCTCCGATCGTGGTGATTGTGAGGGGTTCTTGACCTTTCCCAGGTGGAGAGCCAAAAGGTACTCTAGTGGATTGCTCGTGGCTTGTGTGATCCTCATCTTGTGTTGGTTGTGCGGCACCCTATTGAGGGTTTGGCGTGTGATGCCAATTAGCGCGTGAACCTCCAAGTGAGTGAATCGCCACAATGAGGAGTAACTTGCCGGCAAGCAATTGAACATCGGTAAAAAATCATTGTGTTCATCATTTGATTTCGAGGTGGTTGGTCTTCATTGATATTGATTCTTGTGATTGATTGGTTCACTCCTCGATGCGGCGGTATAACTATCTTGCTCTCTCTCTTTACATTACCACAAGCTAGTTATTAAACTCTTTAGTGTAGCTAGTTGTGAGAGCTTGTTAGTTTGGTTAGTGTGGCTCTTTAGTTAGTCTTTGAGAGCACACTAACTTAGTGTAGTCCCATAGCTATTGTGTGATTAGAGATAATAGAAACTAAAATTGTGGTAGGTGGCTTGTATTTTTAGTAGGCTAGCGCAACACTTGCTTCGCCTCATAATTATCTAACCGTTTTGTTAAGTGTTGTTGTAGAATTTTTTAATAGGCTATTCACCCCCTCTAGCCATTAGGACCTTTCACCCGGATTTATGAACCCGACACCAGGTAACATTGAGATATGATGAAATCTCAACATGAACCAAACAATAAACAGTTGACAAGAAAAAAAACTAGGTCTTAGGCTTGTCCAACAAATTATTATGTAATCATCACATAAACATGAGTTCCACAGCAGGGTAAACAAACTGAATTGAATAACAAAGTTACTGCATGATCAGATCCTAGAGGTACCCCTCCCTTCTCACATAGCATTACAGATGGCATCCCTCCTAAGAGCCATGGCATTGGAATCTTGGGACTGGCTCTCATTATTAAGCAGGGTGTCAAATGGGTCAGGTTGGGTGCCAGTGAAACCCTTCTCAGCTGGCACAACTTGGTCAATACCAAAACCTATGATCCAATTGTGCAGAATACAGCAGGCCAATACAAGCTTGACTTGAGTCTTGTATGGGTGAAAGGGTTTGTTGTCTAGGATATGAAACATGTTCTTCAGTGCACCAAAAGCCCTCTCCACAATGACCCTTAGTGATGAGTGCCTTAGGTTGAAAAGCTCCCTTGCATTGGTTGGGTGGTTTTTGCTCCCAAACTCAGTCAAGTGGTACCTCACCCCCTGTAGGGGGGGTAGAAAGCCACAGCGGCATGCATAGCCAGCATCTACCAGGTAGAATTTACCTACAATTGGACATCTACTATGAGTGTGTGTGCCAATGTTAAGGACATAAGTGCATTGACTAGGTAGTGCAGTTACCTTTAGATATAGTGAACCCATCATTCCTCTGTATGGCATCAGCCAGGATAAGTGCATCATGGGTAGAGCCCTCCTAGCCAGCAAGGACATATGTGAACTTCAGATCAAAGTCCACATCAGCCATAACATTGTGTGGGGTTGTGTTTCCTACCCCTGAAAGCATCATGCATGTGTCTAGGCACCCTTGACAACACATGGGTGCCATCAATGGCACCAATGCAGTCCTAGAAACCATGGAAGTAAGATAACAGTACATGTGAATATGCACATCTACCTAATGAAGGAACATATGCTTCATAATTACCTTCAAGAATGGAGTCCATCTGTGGCTTCCAAATACCTTTGGGTGAATGGCAGTGCTAGAAGGTTTGATCATCTCATTCCTAAGCTCACCAACAGCATATAAAACCCGGTGGAAGTGTCTATGCAGTCTCAATGGACCTCCTAAATGACTGGTGGACAATTCTAAATCTTTGGTTACGACCAACCACATGAAGGAACATTGCAACTTGCTCCTCTACTGTGACCCCCTCTCTATCAGATACTAGGATCCTAGCTCTAAACAGATTGCATAAAGTAAAAAAAAAGGAGCTCTGGTCATCATAAGCATGGATAGGCACTCTCTATCAGTGGAGTTATAGATCAGGTTAAGGGTCTGTTACCTGTACTGGTCAGCTTCATCCCTAAGTGCATACACTAGAGGGTCAGGTTCAGTATCACGTCCAGGACATTTCCTTTTAAGCCCAGTGGTAACAAAGGAGAAAGGACACCATGACTATAACCATGGCAGCTGCTTGCCTACACATCATCTCACGGCTCATAGAGGGATCCATCTACATGCATATAACAATGAAAAATAAACTCAGATCATCATACCCTGCCTGGTCTCAACATGATTGTACAATGATTCAGTAACCAAATAAAGCACGGCTCACCCTGGACGTTCGGTCTGACCGAACCGAACCGGTTCTTCGATCATTTCGAAAGTTCGGTCATCTAAAAACGGAGACCGATCGGTTAGTTTCAGAACTCAGGAGCGAGCAAGTTCGCTCTCAATTAGTTCGGTTCAGTCTCCGGATAGACAAAACAACTACTAAATGTTATAATTTGTAGCAAATTTTAGCAATATTTTTTCTATCTAAGGCAAAAATAACAATATAAAATATAGATTAAACAAAGTGATAAGAGTCATGGTTGATATAAACCCATTAGAATAAATATTATATTACTAATAATAGTCTAAAGTACACATTATGTCAACAAAATTCAAATGTTCGGTTAGTTTGGTTACCCGAGGCATATAACCGAACTAAATGTTAAAAGTTCGGGTAGCATGGACTCGGGACCGAAGTAGTGACCGAAAACTTCGGTCTCGGTCACTTCGGTCTCGGTCTCGATTAGTTCGGTTCGGTCTTCGGTCTTCGGTCAATTATGCCTAGGGTTAAGCACGGCTACATTTAGGTACATGCCTCCAGGTGCTCGGGACAACATCATCGACCATATCATAAAAATACAGAAGCTAACCATATAAAAATCAAGAAACGCATCAGGTATGCAGAGCTCAATAAAGAAGAAGCACATCATCATGGCAAGCATGAAAGATTGTAAGAACGACCATCAGTGAACTATCAAATCAAACCCTAATCCATCGAGGAACAGCAAGTACTACTCAAATCAGATGAATGAATCATGAATAGCAACTACGATATCAAACCCTAACATCATCGCCATCAAGAAGTAGGGAGGATTGGGGGTCGATTTCACCTCGGAGTCGGCGTCGGAGGAAAGGAGCGGCGCAGAAGAGAAAAAGAAGAAGACCCCCGGAAGCGGAGAAGCGATCCGGCACGGAGAGGAAGCGGATCGGGCGGGAGAATAGCTTCAAAGACCACCACATGACAATGAAGAAGAGGGAAGAAGATGGCCACCTCCACGGAGTACCCGCGGTCGACTGAGCGGCGCCGCGTCAGAAAGTGCAGATCCAAGACGGCCACCACCGTCAGCGAAAATCACCCCTAAATCTCCGCCTCGCCATGCTTTCGCCAGCCGCCTCGAGAAAAGCGAGTTTCGTTCCCGAGCTGCCAGCGGAGGGGGCGTTTTACCACAGCGCCCTGGCTGCAGAGCGGGCCAACGCCTCCCAAACACGGGAGTTGCGGGCCACGCGCGAGCCGGGCTTGTGGGCCACCCTCCCAAACAGGCCCTTTGGAACCGTGGGTAGTAATTGTTCAGGAACAACTGTTTCATTGCTTTCGTTTTTGGGTGACACGTTCACACTTTTAAGCAGGAATAATACTTTTGAGTAATTTTAAAATTCTCTCATCGAGAGTAATTTTAAAAATGTATCCCAACTATTTGATTTTCAGATTTTAGATTATTACTTTTAAAACGTTCTAAGTAGTAATTATTTGTTTTTTCTGCCGTGATGAGATAATAAAATATCTGGATCACTGTTTGCTGCCGTAAATATTACTGTTATCACAGATTTAGAAAGATGGTTAGTAAACGAAGCTACAAAAATTCGGAACCCGCGACCGTAAAAGTAGCCTGAGATTCCAATGCGCCACCAGTTTCCATGATAATTAGCGCAATCAAGTAGCACGGAGTAATAATCAAAATTAGCATAATTATCGCAATCAAAGTGGTAATAATCAAGCGATTTAGTGATTTGTTTATTTCTAACTAACTATGGGTGGATACGGAAGGAGCAGATTTTCATCCTCAATTAAACGTAAATGCCTATAATTAAGGAAGTTATTGATTTTATTTCTCTCAATTTGCCGTAAAGGCCTATGATTAAGGAAGTTAATGATTTGTAGTTTATATAATTGGTCGCACGTTTTTAGATTAGCAGTAAGATTCTTTTTTTCCTCCATATCTTTAGATTAGTAGTAAGATTTTATTTCTCGTCCACGTCAGTAGATATTTCGATCAATCAAACTATAAAAGAAACAACGATTCCAAAAGCAAAACAGTAAAAGACAGATATGGCAGTAAAATACAGCATTGGAGTGGTGTTGTAGTAATTTGGTGCTTTGCGGCAGTAATCAGCGAGACAAAAACAAAAATAAAATCAAATATTTCCTCATTGCTTCATTAATCAATCAAATTCATTTGAAGTTTGTACAAACAAAATCCATCAAAAAAATCAAATCTAGCACTCGCCGATGAGAGCTCCACGCCCACCGGATGCAGGGGCCCTGCCGCAGCCACCGGAGAGAAGGAAGGGGAGGCACCTGCTCAGCTGTTCATTGCTCCCAATTACACGGATCATGATTTCGTCATATGTTTTATTTTGCTTCATCATTAGCTGTTCTAGTTAGCTGTTCTACGACATGTTGGCGCATGATGGTTCCCCTATCAAAAGAAAAAATGAAGATTGATGTTTCTATTTCAGGGATAATTCACATATTCATCTTGACAATGCCCTTCAGCTGAGGCCTCAACACATCATCATAACGACACAGTAAATAGTATATTATTATACTGTTGGTATATTAAACCGTCACACCATCAGTAGCCACTACACCTAGCTACTTTCACTTCAGAAAAAAAATAAACCATGAACCACTGCCAGGCAAAATTCACAGTTGCTTTACATTTTCTTTCTGGAAAGAAACCGGTATATTACACCCAAAAACATATACACGAGGTCAATCTGTCTTCCACACCCCTTCTTCTGATGCTCGCAAGGCCAAAATTTGTTCATCGCTCGCCCCATCATCGCCATCGCTGCAATGCTTGGGAACTGAACTTCAAGTTCTTCGGATGACCGGCCAGGCTTTGTTGCTTGCCTTCCCTGGCCTGGGTCTTCATGGTAAACAGGGTGCCACCCTGGCACCATCTTCCTGTCCAACTATTCACGTTCTTCTCTAGAATTGGGGTTCTTTCTTGCTTTTCTTGCAATTTTTTCCCTTCGTCCAAGCTCTTGTCCTCCTTAACACGATCGATTGCTCCAGTGTCAGTCCTGTTGCAAGGAAGTGCTATGTCAAAAGAACGATCTCTTTGCCTGAGTGGAGGACTGTCTCCAACTTTTTGGCCTCTTGGAACCAGGCATGTCAGGATCTTATATGTCAAGTTGTAGGCGCTTGAGCCATCTATCACTTGGCTCGGCACCTATTGGGGTTGAATTATACCACTGGAAATTTGATTTCTCATTCTGCTCATTTGGGAAAGTATGAGATCTAGGTTCGTGATTCCTGTTCCTGGCATGCATGATTGCTTACTACCAATGGTTGCTTTGGACGAAACATCATGACCTTCATTGACATTATGGGTTCCATCTTCTTTACTGTGTCCTGAATCTCCTCTCTTGGACGGAGCTGCCAGCTGCTCACTTTTTGCTTTGTCTGGGCAACTGTAGTCCTGTAGTACATTTATTGGTAATGAAAGAATCAGTACACATATCTATCAACTGATACGGGCCCATAACTAATGAGCACAGCTTGAAATAATTATCATGTGGAATAACAAGCAACAGGTAGGTGAGCATATATTCAAATCAACCTAAAATATTCAAATTCCAGGATTTTAACTAAAGAGCATTAACAGTAAAGTGTGTAAAATTGTCGTGATCAGTTGTGCACGAATCAGACCATCAGGCACTCACCATAACTACAGAGCCACCCATAATGCGAACACCACTTGGGGGGTGGGGGGTTCAGTTTTGAATTATTCTGTTAAATCTTGATAACGCAAAAGCACGAGCCATCAATTTATTCCTGGCAAACACTAAGATCTATATTTCAAAGTTGATTTCGACTTCATTCTAAATTCCATTTAATTCTCCTCATTATGCAGCAAGGGAGAAAATTTACCAGGATAATCTAGCAATTAAACAAAATGGTCAGTGCAAATTGCAGCATTCCTAGATCATAGCAAAACAGTAGCATGACTAACTACTTCCAATCTTGGTCGCCATTGTTCCTACAGAAAAAAGAAAGAAAGTAAGTAAGAACATCCCCCCACCCAAAGAATTCAGTAAGACCGCACGCGGAGCATCGAATCTTCTCCAAAATCACTTTCGAGAGTGAGACAGGGAGTGGCAAGCCCGTACCTCTGCACTTGAACAACTTCCCCGCGGTCGTCATGGCATGAGGGGGCGTGGCACGAGGGGGAGGGCGCGAGGGGGCAGTGGCGCGAGGGGGAGGGCGCGGAGGCGGCGCGGGGAGAGGCATGCGAAGGGGAAGAGCGTGATTGGAGGCGGGATCTCACGAGTGGAGGGCACTAAGACACCGGGTCCACCACGCGCGGGGGAGGGAGCGAAGCACCGGGCGGGCTTGCGAGCGGGCGAGCAATTGCACGCCTTGTGGACGATTGTTCTGCAAATGTTTTAGTTGTAGTATAAGTATATAAATATAATATATATAAGAGGCATGATGAACATGATAAAACATTATACAAAGCAATATCCTGCACCGAAAGCATAGTAAACAAATAAGAAAGTAGTATCACACACTCATCTTAATCCAGTATTTACCACCCAAATCAGCACCTAGGACTGGAGTCTCCAGGTGGGAAGGGCAGGCAATGTCAGGTAACACTTCAAATACCAATGGGCAATGTCAATAAAAAAGGAACTAAATAATCTAGTTGCCAGGAACTGACAAATAATAATATCATATCTGAAGTAAGCAAATTTATTCTCTATTCAATTCATTTACATCCTGTATGTTCCTTGGCATGCCATTGAGATGGTGAAAATCTAGCCAAAACTGACAGGTAATGCATGCAGCCTATGCTAGTTACAGATCTCTTTAGCCAAATTTATAGATTTCAATCGCAAAAGATGAACATCAATTTATTAGCAGGAGTCAATCTCGTGTGTGCCGCTAAAAACTTTGAGCTACATGGCTGCAGATGCGGTGAAGGCATGTTGCCACCAAGTACCTTGTAGAACAAAAATCAAGCATGCACGACATCAATGCAAGGAAAAAAAATCAAAAAAAAGAAAAAGAAAACAAATCTAGCACCCTCCTCCGCGAAATTTGGCGTCCACCTTCCACGGTTCCCTCAGCACGGGGATAGACAAGGATGGGGAACACCAAAGGTCAGGGGAGACAGGGGGAAGGCCATGCATGCCACCGCCAGGATCCTCTGTCGGCACTCGGCACAACTAATAAGATTAGACAGGCTCAGGACTCAAGGATTCAGCACAACTAATAAGATTAGACAGGCTCAGGACTTAAGGATTCAATGGCAAGATAGGAAAGCAATGCACCACAGTCACTTGGTGTTTGCTTAATCGCTCTATCTGCATTGCTTAACTCTGAGCGTACAGGGCTAGCCACCGTCCCAGTGATTGGATGAAAATTGGGCAAACATTAGTAATTTGCCGTTGAACTCAAGACAAGGTTAAATCTAGTAAATTAAGAAACATAGATTAATCTAGGAAGTGTATACAGTTATGATCCACAGGATGAGCAGCATTTCCTTGGGGGTCTAGCAATTTCAGTATAGCTCAAGTAAAAAGGCTACGGAAGAAATAGCACTTTGCATTTACCTTCTTGACGTACATCTCGACCAAATTGGTCAGATCAGTCCACGGTTTGTAGTCACACCAGAAGGTTCCCTTCAGGATCCTATCGTTCAGGAAGTTCATTGGGTAAATCTTGAATTCATCATCCTTCAGTGGCACACCCACCAGCATAGCACCCCCCACCCCCTAGTCCCAACCCTGGATTTAGAACAGAGCTGTTAAAATTAAGTCTAAATAGCAGGCTGCAAATGAAAGAAAGAAAGCACATCTTTATTCAGGTTTACATCAGGAGCACACTCAAATGCTTGGATCATAGCGAATTGATGTTACATGCACTCCACACTGTGGTCAACCCCACCATTGTCATCTCAGCAAGTACGTAACTCATCAGGAAATTGGATGGTATGGTTAAGAACACAATGCACATATGATAAATCCATGTTTATATCTTATAAACACTATAAAAGATATCTTTTGCTATTGCTACAATGTGTAACAGGCCTAACTTAGATGAAAATAGCTTATATGCATCCAAAACAGTAAAACTGGTGTTCAAAATGATTAAATCATTAATCAGCCTGTAGAACATGTGCAACGTATCTCTTTTTTTCTAATGGAAATTTCACATCGTATCTTTGAGCAGCAGTATCCTGCTCGGCCGAGATGTGAATTTCCTCTGCAATTTTCATTTCTTGTTCTACATATCAGGACCATTAACCAGACTCCTTTTCAGGCATATTGAAGAATGCAGATACCAACTGTACCTGAAATATTGCTTGGTCTTGTTCTTGTTTTCTGGCAAGGTCCATCTCTTCAGACATTTCTTGTTCCAACTGTCAACCTGAAAGAAAAAAGCACAAATATTTTCTAATATCTGTTGGTCCAGGAAACACATCACTGAAGAGAGCATCAAGCATTAAGGAAAGAATGCATGCAAACGCATTTTACTGCTTGCACATGAACACATTAACTGGACTAGCTTTTCCTATTTTCCAGTATTTTGTATCAATGTACAAGGTTTATAAGCGGCCAATTCCAGGAACACAAGACAAAGTAGCTCATAATTTTGCCAATTCCATGGGCAACAGATGTACAGAGCAATGACATTCATGCATCACTAAACATTTTTTTTTCTGGAATACGTAGGAGAGCTGCGTATCATTGCATTAAGAAAGGGGATAAAAGGCTTATATAGCCATACAACAGCACACACACACCGTCTCTAGATTACATACGCGCCTATTAAAACTGTAAAAAGACGACCTCCCTCAACAGGCGCTGCTAAACCCCAGGTCGAGCAGCGACCAGTTCACTAATGCCTTTAGCGCCTGCCAACCTCCAGAGAGCGGCTTCTTCTTGTGCAAGGAGAAGCACCCGCTCTATCCTAGGCGAAGCACCATTGAACACAATATCATTTCTCTCCTTCCAAAGCATCCAGGCTCCTAGCATGACCAATGAATTGAATCCTCTCTTGGTTCTTTTGTCAAGAGTGCTACCGGCTTGTTGCCACCAGTCAAAGAACCCAGTGGCAGATGGCTGAGGTGCAATATCCGGGAGTGCAAAGGTGCAAAATAATTGAAACCAGAATTGCCGAGAGAAGACACAGGAACAGAGGAGGTGCTGAATGGTTTCATCCTCTTGGTCACAGAAGGGGCAGTGCTTAGGATGAGGAAGACCTCTTCTAGCAAGTCTATCAGCTATCCAACACAATTATGTGCAACTAACCAAAGGAAGAATTTGCACTTCCTGGGACCCCAATTCTTCCAAATTAGAGTGCTCGGCTCAAACTGGACTGCTCCAAGGAACAAAGCCTCATATGCTGACTTAGTAGAGAATTGACCTGAAATGTCCAATTTCCACTTATGAACATCCTCAACCTCTGGCAGGAGTAATGTTTCCTGAACCAAGTCCCAAATGTCCAAGAATTCTGATAGGACCTCCACAGAGTGGTGCCCCTGGATATCCTATACCCACTGATTGTCCATTAGTGCTTCCTGAACTGTACGTTTCTTAACCCGCCTCTTGGGTACAGTTACAAATAAATTGGGAGCTAATAGCTTAATAGATGACCCTTGTAACCACCGATCAGTCCAGAACTTGGTGTTCACCCCATTGCCGACTTCCGTAGTTACAGCAGCATCAAATAGGGCCTATGCATTCCCATGAATCTGTGACTGGAAGGCTGCCCATGGCTTATCGAGTTCAGTTTTACCCAACCACAACCAACGGACCACAGTGCCAAAACCAAATCTTTGAAGGTCTAAAATGCCCAAGCCACCAAACTCCTTTGGACGGCTCACCTTGGGCCAAGCTAATAAACAAAGGACCTTTTGCCTCCTTCCCCGCCTCGCCACAAAGAAATTACGACGAATCTTATCCACCCTTTTTAGGCACCATGGAGGAAGCTCCAAGGCGTTGGCGAAATAGATTAGAACTAAGGTGAGAACCGATTGCACATATGTAGCCCGACCATTCGATTCATCAACTCAGATTTCCAACTTTGGCGGATGGTCACCCACCTTCTCAATCGAGAGGTTGTAACTGCGTGTCTCGATGACTTCTTGATGGAAAGAGGAAGGCCAAGATATTTGCAGGAAACTCTGAACTACACATGGAAATTGAGTCCGAACCACAGCCAAGTCTTCATTTGAACATTGAATAGGAGAGACCTTGCATTTCAATATTTGTTCTCAGTCCTAAAGATGTGCCAAATAGTCAGTAATAATTGCATCCACCACTTTCAAATCTGTGGCGATGGGCGAAGAAACAATACCACATCATCGGCATAAAGGGATACACGATGATGAATATTCCTAGTGGAAAATGGCTGCAGCAGCCCTTGATTACTTTCGCCTTATCAATCAATCTATTCGGGACATCCATGACAAGGATAAAAAGCATAGGAGAGAGTGGGGTCACCTTGCCGAAGTCCATGCCGGTGATATAAAACCTCACCGGGGACCCCATTGAGTAGCACCCTAGTTGATGACGAGCCAAGCAAGCCACTGATCATATCCCGCCATTTACGCCCAAAACCCCTTCTCTGAAGAACCTCCAAAAGAAACAGCAGAAGCACCGAAGTCGAAGGCTTTAGAGATGTCCACTTTAATAGAATGCGTGGCTGCTTTTGTTGATGCAAGAACACGGCCGTCTACTAGACAAGTAAGAAATTATCATGAATACAACGCCCTTTCACGAAAGCACTTTGATTGGATGACACCAACTCACCGAGTCTTCACATCAGCGGTTTGCCAACAGTTTTGTGACCAATTTAGCAAAACGTGGATAAGACTAATTGGTCGAAAGTCCTTAACGAGGAAGCATCATCTTTTTTGGGCAAGAGGGTTAGCGATCTTTGAGTTAAGAAGCTGCATGTTCCTAAAATTCCCACGCTGCATTGCACCGATATAGCGTAGACATTAAATCAGGTTTGATAAGCGGCGAGGATATCTTGTAGAAACGCATACAATATATCCATCCGGGGCTGGGCCTTATCTAGAGGCAAATGCTTGATGGTGTTCCACACTCATCCTCCAAAAAAGGCGGTTCAGTCGGTCAAATCAATTTGGCTTAAGTTCACTCTTCAAGGTTGATGGTCGAGATCCGGCTGCCACTTGTGCCCAACAACCCGATCATAGAAATAAAAATTGCTGCAGCCTTATCCTCATGGCTAGACAAAGACCTGATCATCTACTATTATTTGTGAGATGAAATTTTTACGCTTCCTATGACGAACATGAGCATGAAACAACGCTCAGTATTAGCATCCCCATCTTTCAACCAGTTAATCCTTGACCTGACCCAAGGAATTGTTCTCTCAGCATAGAACTCAAAGCTAGAGAATGTTTTCTCAAAGAGTGCAGCAACCAAAGCTCTCCTTCCGATAGTCATCTGATGTCCCGAGCAATTTCAAGTTGATGGATAATTTCTCCGGCAATACCAAGTTGAGCACCAATGTTTCCAATGCATTTCGACTCCGGTTTGTAAAGCTCGGGTGAGACATTTAAACTTCAATGCGAGTCTCCAGAGGACAAGCCCTTGCTTCAACCGAACCCCAGGCCCGACCAACCACTTCATGGAAACCCTCCAGTTTAGGCCGAAAGATGCAAAGTGGAATCTGCCCTTTCCAGGCAAAGATGTCATTCAGCCCTATAATTAGAGGGCAATGATCTCGAGTCCATGGAGGTTGTACTTTGCAATGCATAACTTGGGAATAAAATTTCCCATTCCATGGTAGAGAAAACCCCTGTCGGCTGGCGAGAGTGGGCGAATTACCGCCACCACTCCATGTGAATTCTGCGCCCAATTAGGGAAGTTCCTTGAGAGCCAAGTCATCCAGGGCCCAAGCGGAAACGACCCATCATAGCACGGTTGAGATTGGCATTGTTCTTATCTTCCTCCTTATAGATTAGGTTGAAATCCCCGGCTACCATCCATGAGCCATGACAGTGAGTGCGGATCAAGCGGAGTTCTGTAAAGAAATTGATCTTCTCCTCATTCCCTTGTGGCCCATACACATAGGTGAGTCACCATGGTTCACTTTGTCGATGGGTAGAAATTGGATAGAAACACAATGATTGTCCACCGAAAATTCCCAAAGATGCCAAGAGCTTGCTTCCATGCAACAAGTATCCCTCCACTAGCACCCACCGATGGTACGAATACAAAATGACAGAAATCCGGACCTAGAGTAGACAGAACAAACCAATTGAGATATGCCTTCCATCTTAGTTTCTTGAAGGCGGAGACTATGTCACTCTAATGGATCGGATCAACATTCAACGAGTCTTGACGAGTTGAGGAATTGAGACCCGTGACGTTCCAAACAAGAACCTTTGAAGGATCCATGTAACCAAAGTGAGAGACAGGGGCGACCGAGTGCTTGCTCAAAGCGGTAGCCATCGGCCTCTAGGGCACTTATAGCCCTCGGGAGGTGACCACCAAAGAGCGCTTGTGAGGGCCCCGAACGTGAGACGCCGAGAGGGGACCACTGAGCAGTTTAGCGTAGTCTTCCATTACCTTTTGATTGACATGCTCACGCTCCAACTCAATGCCAAGGGAACGCATGATGAGTCTTGCGAGCCAAGCATCCAAAATACCGGGGGCTCGACTTCCAACCCCTTGATCCTTACGCTTCTACGAGGAACAGAGGGGGGGAAGGAGCCCTCGAACGTCTCTTTGGTATGCTGCGGTAATTTGGGGAATTAGGCCCTCTGTGTTCTTGGAGAGCTTGTCAATAAAAGCTTTACATGCCTTGGTCGCCGGGGAATCGAGGCATGGCCGCCTGGAGTAGACGCGATCACGGGTATCATGTCACCCAAGGGTCATGAACGGCAAAGAGCCTTCCTCCAAGTTGGGCCTCGAGCGCATGGCCCGCCTAGTACAATTGCAGGCTCATTTGTAGCTTCATAGGATAGGCGGCGGTTCTTGAACACAGAAATTGCGCCTCTGAAACTTGACAGACTCAAAGCAGAGGGGCGCCTGGCCGCACAAAATTGGGCCTCCTCTTCCACAACCATGGCGTCACATGTTTGGGCCTCAATCCTTCACCCGGGTGGGACCAGTCTGGCCTCCCGGCTTACATCCGCAGCCGCCACATTGACTTCAGGGGGCGGGTCACGAGACGAGTTTCCCATTGACCGCTCCTCGGGGCTCATGATGACCTCGGGCAGCCCTTTGGGCTCGGTCGCCGCATCTGCCAGCACAGGAGGGGAGGAGTCCCGTCCGTCATCCCTACCGCCGCAGGGAGAGGCCCGAACCTCCTCGAAACGTCCGTCATCGCATCCGTCGTAGGGAGAGGAACGGTCCTCTTCGGAACCCACCGTGGCCGCCAGCACAGGAGGCGAAATGGCCCCTCCGTCATCACTGCCACCGCAGGGAGATAAACGGTCCTCCTTGGAAACTGGCGAGGCCGCCGGCACGAGAGCCATGCGGGCCGACGCGCCATCAATGCCCCCGCAAGAATAAATACAAACCAAGCCTAGTAATACTAACATAGGAACTTGTTCACCCTGTCCACATCCTTGTATCTCCTAAATAAAATTCTAGTCCGTGCGAGAGCATAAATTGATGGACTAGTATTATCGAAATTCTGATGCTAAAATATCTAATAAAACCCTTGATTTGCGCTTTCGGGGATAACTTGTCAGGCTCTCCTCGTATAGCATAGGGACCAAGGGCATTACTTCAGTATATAATGAATTTCTTCTCTCCAAACATTGCTCTCCGCCGGAGCATGCAGAACTGTTCCCAGATAAAGCAGGCGAAGGATCATCTAAAACCTTGTGCTGCATCAAAAGCGATTCCTGTGAACAGAACTTCTCAACATCATGTTTGTATTTGGCAATGTGAAGATTTCCACGGACTCCAACACGAGAGGATTGCACTGTACTCCAGACACGCAGCACCTCTTCAAGATCATACAGATTCTCAATAAAACGCCTTGCTGGATCATAAAATCCCAATTTCCTCCCCGTGTTTAGTAAGATCTTCCCGTCCTTGGGATCGATAGCCCATGGCACCACAACATTTGCTCCAAGGGAATAGCCTGGCCAACCTTCCAAATACACTGTGTATGCGCTATGCCACTGATCATGCTCTCGCCTCCAAATATTTAGCTCTTCTGCATTAGGGTCTGCAAGAACAGCACATAATGTTCCCTCAAGCTCAACCACAAAAGCATTGGAAGCACTTCCGTTGTTCCACATAGCAATACATGACGGACAGGGGATGACAACAAATTCACGTGTTGTTATGTCAAATGACACAATGGCCCCCTCGTCACATTCGCCCAACCTTGGATCACTCATCCAGTAGAGCACTCCTGCAAGATAGGCTGGCGGCATGTCACTCACAGGCAGAGGTGGCAGGGAGCAGTCTTGCACGGTGCCCCGGCCACACTCGGTAACCATGCATGTCAAGAAATACCGACGGGATTTGAAGTCCTTCACGTGGTAAAACATTTCAACAATCGCGTGATCCTGCGTCGACAGATTGAACCCCAGGCCAACATTCTTGCGGCCAAGTGCGAAAGCATGGCCATGGCCTTCTGGTATACTCCAGCTAGGAAGGTTCGGGGGTACATGGATGGATGTCGTCCCTCGAGTGTGGTACGCAAGGCGGAAACCTGTGCAGGGGTTGTAGAGATAATCCTTCAGCTCAGTGCTTAGCAGGTTCATGCCATGGCAAGGCTTGGAGCAAACCACTTTTGTGTCAAGCCATATATCATGTCTATGAGCACGTTGGAGCAACTTTGAGCAGGGAGTAAAACTGAAGCCGGATCCTCTAGTGATGCGATCCCTAGTGATGCCCTTGCCCACAAGCATGATCTTGGGCCTCTTGTCCATGTTGTTATGCGAGTGATAAGAGCGCATGAAACTGTTACCCTCAATCAAGGTAAGCCACTGCTTGCAGACAAGTTTGCATCGCATGGTACAGTCAGCTGGGAGTTGGAGCAAGATCTCCCTTGTCGCTTTAGCCAGGGGAGCTGACAGGGCTCTCTTCATTTGTCTGATGCACTGGAACAAGGCTCACTTGAAATAGGGAGACTCTAGTAAGAGCAAGCTTTTCAGCTTGGTAAGACGAATGGGTCTCTCTGATTACAGTGGCAGTTTCTACAGTATGAGACACGGGATCATAGACAATCACCTTGCGTTTGGATGTAGCAATGACTATCCTCTTCGTGGACCCACAACTGCCAACAGAACCAATAACTCTAACAATCTCAGGCTCAATTACATGCTGCAACAGATCAATGCGATGTTCCAATGACCAACCACCAGAGCCATAGTCATTCAACTTCCAAATCTCCAGCACGCCGACATGACGAAGGTCCCGAACCATACACATGGCCAGCAAGCTCCACCAAGTGCACACCTGACACCTCAAACGGTGGCGACTGGACCCATGCAAAGATCTCATCTGTGACAGAAAAGGATAGGATGGCAGCTCGTGGCCTTTCAATGACAAATGAGGGAAGGATAAGCCAATGCAGAAAACCATTTGCAAATACCGGCAGCACTTTATCATGTCCAGCATGGCTAATAGTTGCGTGAGCAGCCCTGCAGAATCTGAAGGGTACACCTGCAGCAGGCAGCTTCCAATAATCCCCATGATCACTGCCCAGCGTGTATATCTCACACTTAATATGCTGCTTATCACCAAAATCCCCTAGGAATAACCTCACCACCTTGAACTTCTTCGTCCGGGCATCAAACCCAAGTCCAGCGGTCACACACAACGCATTGTGGCACGGGGGCAACCGGGTAACTGCCCTTGTGGATGCGTTGAAGACATAATAAGCTGGTGCAAAAGGATCGTGGAGAAGGCTTAGGCCACGGCACGGTGCAGGCGTCATGTGGATGAAGTCACCACCGCGTACACCATCAAGAGTGAACAACAGGCCGTCATCCGGGCCTGATGATGAGCTCGAGTACACCGCAGTGGCGTCAAAACCAGCTGTTGGTGAAGTGAAGAACAGATTAGGTGGTGCTGACTCCGCTTCAGCCTTCGCCATGTGACGGCGGCAAAATTCATCAGAAGAAAGCACTGCATTCCAGGACCAGCAGACGGCCCGAAAGCGAAGAATGGATTTGACGGGCAGCCGTAGGAACACCTCTGTCATCATCTCCTCCGGCAGGAAATGTGCAGCACCAGATGCTACAGCCCTTCTCTTATTCCCCATCATCATGTCACCCAAAGTTGATCAACTATGAGATAATCTGCACTGAAATAAACAGGAGATTGGTATCAGGACAATCTAAGATCCTATGTACTTGGACCATGTAATGTAAAGAGATATACTAAATATATATTCTGAAAATTCTCGAGTATGAGCGAAGAGAAAAACGCACCCCCTGAATTCTAATCTCGGCGTAGAACGTGTCGGCGGCGTGTTGGTTAAGACGAGATGACCCGTAAATTGCCCCCAAAGATGCAAAAAACCTCTCTTTTCCCCAACTTTTATAAGGAAGAGGGGGGCATCGTGAGAGATATCGGTCGGACCCGGAGTCCGAAACGAACACATAGTGAACAGAGATTATGGAATCCGAACAGGATTAAAGACTCAGCGCACAACCCCGCGTGTCAGCCGCGGCAGCTTGGTCAACGCCGGCCACCGCTCTTCCACAGTTGATATCCAAGCCGAAATGGCGCCGGATATGCGTTTGCCAGGTTGTCGGTGTGACCGCCGGAGGCCAGATGGGGCCAGCCTGCTTCCCGCGGCGAATCCTGTAATCCCGGGCCGGTGGGGAAGACGGAGAAGGCGGCCGATCGGGGAGTGTGTGCAGGGTGGAGGAATGGGTGCTGGGGCTCCTACGCGGGAGGATCTCGGGAGGACGGAGGTTGGGGAAATGTGTTGAGGAAGACCTAAACAATCAGCTGGAGAGGGTGTGGGGGCGTGGGTCACCTGTGTGGGTCATTAACAGGTGTGTGGGTCTCAAAGATGAATTCTCAAAAAGAAAAAAAGAAAAGAAGAAGGAGAAGGAGGTCTCAAGATGAAAGGCTCTGTTAGCTTCTTTAGCCACTCCTAAAATTCACGTCACATTGAATGTTTGACACGTGTATGGAGTATTAAATATAGATTAATAATAAAACTAATTGTACAACTTGCGACTAATTTGCGAGACGAATCTTTTAAACCTAATTAGTCCATGATTTGATAACATGGTACTACAGTAAACATGTGCTAATGACGGATTTATAGGCTTAAAAAATTTATCTCGCAAATTAGCCTTCATATATGTAATTGGTTTTATAATTAATCTATATTTAATGTTCCTTATTAGTATCTAAATATTCGATGTGACATGAATTTTATGAACGACTAAAGAACCAAACACCCCCGAAGGAAGCACGGTCTTGATCACCTTTCTATTTTTTTTCTTTTCTTCTCCCGGAAAGAAGTGAGCACTCCCATCTCATAGGGGTCAGGGATCCGAACGGCTAGTAAATGTGGTTTAACTAGAAAAACTTTTAACTGGCTAAAGTTTAATTTTAAAATTTTAGCTAGTTAAATTTTAATTGGACAGATCCAAACAAACCTTGATCATAATTCTTTTATACTAGCATCATAATGGTGTAGTAAGCCAGTTTTCCTCCGATGGTTTTAGACTCCAGCAGTTCACCCCCAATCCTCATAAACCTGTTATATCGGTGAGGATGAGGTAAATTTCTTGCTCCAGCTCCCCAATATGGCCTCCTCTTTTTGGTGGTCACAAAAAAAAAACAGCCCATCTCTCCTCAAATGAAGGGGTTGTATCTCCCCAATAGCGCGGGCCCCACAATAACTGTCGCAATCCAGCCGACGGCGCTCGCTGGGGCAGGGACGACGGTCGCCGGAGCTGGGCACGACGCCCGCCCGGGCCGAGGATGGGCGCGACGCTGGCTGGGGGCGGGGCCGGGCAGGGCCAACACCGCGGTTGGGTGGGACGGGGCGGTGGGCGAGGTCGCGGTGGTGGCCGCAGCTGGCGCGGTGGTGGTCGACGGTGGCCGGAGCAGAGGGCGCGGCTGGGCACGAGGGCCGATCCGCGCAGGCGCTCTGGCTCGGCAGGCGGCGCTCCAGCTCGAGGGCGCGAGGGCGGATCCGCGTGGGCTGGTGCGGCGGGCAGCGGCGTCGGGGCCCGTGAGGAGGCCATGGCCGCGGTTGCCTCTAGCGAAGCGGACACACGACGCGTGCGTAGGCCATGTCCGTGCATCTTGCTTGCATCTACCCGCATCTCACTTGCATCTCGCTTGCATCGAGCCAGCGGTGGTCGTAACCGGGGCTGGACGGGGCCAGGGGAAGGGTTGGGCACTGCGGTGGGCTTGCGCGGTGGGGCAGCTGGGGCTGGGCGGCGGTGGCCGGGGCCGGCGCCGGCGCCGGACCTGCCTTGGCGGCCCGACGCGCGAGCGCCTCTGCGGCCTGCGGGAAGAAGACGTCAGGAGAGAGCAGAAGAGGAAAAGGAAAATAAATTAGAATCTGACATTTGGATCCTATATTTTGGGGAGATTACTAGTGATTTGCTAAACATCTCTTCCAATAAATCTAAAAATCAGTATCACCAATACCATTCTATTGGGGATGAGTTATCGTTAAGCTGCAGGAGATGCTCTTTGTAAGCACGGTTAGATAGTTTTCCCAATCCACCGATTGCAGAAGCAGCAGTATCACATGTCGATCATTCTTGCTTGTTTCTGGTTTTTTCTTTTAATCCTGTTACTCCAAGGTCATCTAAAACTAGATTGGAATCACTGTTTGTCGTATATGCTTTTGATCCTGCTGGATATGTTGTTTATGATATGATTCTTAACGGACATGTCGTTGTATCAGCTTACTCAAAGCGTGTCTGATGCGCGTGAGGGTGGGGTCTATCTGATTCTTAACGGAAATGTCAGGCCAGGCCCTTCCTCAGCAGTTGCCAGCTGCAGTTGATTCATGCAACCAACAAGCAGGCTCCAACGATTGCGTTGCGTGGTGCTCAACTTCAAGTTCATAGTTCAGGCCCCGTTTAGATTCCAAAAAATTTTGCGTAGTACCCATCACATCGAATCTTGCGGCACATGCATGGAGTACTAAATTTAGACGAAAAAAAAAACTAATTGCACAGTTGGGTGAGAAATCGCGAGACGAAACTTTCGAACCTAATTAGTTCATAATTAGACACTAATTGTCAAATACAAATGAAAGTGCTACAGTAGCCAAAATCCAAAAAAAATTGGATCTAAACACGCCCTCATTTCGTCATCTGTATTCTGTGGGCCATAGCTGCTGACTGGTTTTGTTACATAGAGCAATGATAGGTGGCAGGCCATGATGATGAACTGATGATATGTATTTTTAGGGTTAATAAGACTTTAACTGAATCACAGTGATAAAGAAAACTATACAATAGAATCCAGCTTTTTTACATTATTGTCATGATGTAATTTGGCTTATGCTGATGCTTATATTGATTTGTTGTGAGAGAAAACATTATTCGCTTTGAAGTAGTGCTGCAGAATAGGATGAATATGAAGAGAAGTATGTTTGTTCATATCTCATGATAACCCTGCCTAGTGCAGTAGTGCCTACCATAACACACGCCACGAAAGCGAATTGAACCTAGCCCTCAATTGGTTAGGTTTTTGTGGTGGAACTTGCTCACCCAAGTTCAAACCCTCGACACGAGATTTAGGCTCCGTTCGGCTGGAGGAAAGTTGGATGAAAAACACTGTTCCGGATGAAATGTTGTGAGAGAAAAACATTGTTCCGTATGAAAAAAGAAGCCGAACAAGCCGATTTTAAGGGCACGCGAACGGAACCTTAACGTGTTATGTTTTCAGTGGTACGAGATTTAACATTCCCGTCATGCATATCATTCTATAAAATGGGTTCACCAAGACAACATTTTTTACGTGCAATTGTAAAATGCTCGTGCTTAGTTTGAGAATGGGCCAAATTGATTTCTATAGGTTTATTCTGATTTCTTTTTTCCTAATCTATAGAGATTATAGATCTTTTATGTAGATTTGGGCCAGTTTTAGTAGGAATTTCATTTGAGTTTCATGCGCATTTAGGCCCTGTTCGTTTTGTTGAAATTTAGCTTATGTTGATTTGTTGTGAGAGAAAAATATTGTTCGCTCGTTGAAAAGTACTGTTGAAATAGTGCTGAAGAAAAAAAAATTATAAAATTTTAGAATAAAACCATACAATGAGAGTAGTCATTTCATCAATTTTTTATTGCAATCTATCTTATCATGACACTATCTTCGCGGAGTTCGAGCTTTAGTATTTGATCACTAGTCCATTTCCAAATGCGGATAAATGTCTCCTTACTTTAGCAACAAGGCTAAGGTTGTGTTTAGTTCGCGAAATGAAAATTTTTGAATGTCAGATCGGATGTTTCGGAGATGTCAGAAGGGGTTTTCGGATACTAATAAAAAAACTAATTACATAGCTCGCCTGAAAACTGCGAGACGAATTTATTAAGCCTAATTAATCCATCATTAGCGCTGGTTAGTTACTGTAGCACTTATGGCTAATATGGACTAATTAGTTTTAAAACATTCGTTTCGCGATTTCCAACCAAACTGTACAATTAGTTTTTTTCGTCTATATTTAATACTCCATGCATGTGTCGCAAGATTCGATGTGATAGTTTGAGGTGAAATTTTTTGGGAACTAAGGCCCCGTTTAGATCCAATTTTTTTTGGATTTTGGCGCACTGTAGCATTTCGTTTGTATTTGGTAATTAGTGTCTAATTATGGACTAATTAGGTTCAAAAGTTTCGTCTCGCGATTTCTCACCCAACTGTGCAATTAGTTTTTTTCGTCTACATTTAGTACTCCATGCATGTGCCGCAAGATTCGATGTGACGGATACTGCGCAAATTTTTTAAATCTAAACAGGCCCTAAACCAGGCCTAAATAATCCTTTAGTACCCTTCAAATTTTATGATAGAAATGGCCTTCAAATTTGGCAAATAAAAGATTAAAACAATATTTCATCACTATAATATAAATAATAAATAAATAAAAGAGAAAGGGGCGTTTACCGTGATGATCCCCCCCGTCCTATTCTATCCTATCCAACGGTTCTGATCTTCCACCCACCATTCTAGCGCAGATCTCCAGCCCCGCAAAACCCTAGCCCCAACATCTCCTCACTATAAATGCGTGCACCTCCCTCTTCCGGCGCTTTCCCTCACCATCCTTCCCCTCGCGCCGCCGCCACCGCAGCCCTTGCAACCCCAATCCCCCACGGCGACCATGGCCGGCGCGCAGGAGTCCCTCTCCCTGGTGGGCACGATGCGCGGCCACAACGGTGAGGTGACGGCGATCGCCACCCCGATCGACAACTCCCCGTTCATCGTCTCCTCCTCCGCGACAAGTCCGTGCTGGTGTGGGACCTGCAAAACCCGGTCCACTCCACCCCGGAATCCGGCGCCACCGCCGACTACGGCGTCCCCTTCCGCCGCCTCACCGGCCACTCCCACTTCGTCCAGGACGTCGTCCTCAGCTCCGACGGCCAGTTCGCCCTCTCCGGCTCCTGGGACGGCGAGCTCCGCCTCTGGGACCTCTCCACCGGCGTCACCACCCGCCGCTTCGTCGGCCACGAGAAGGACGTCATCTCCGTCGCCTTCTCCGTCGACAACCGCCAGATCGTCTCCGCGTCCCGCGACAAGACCATCAAGCTCTGGAACACCCTCGGTGAGTGCAAGTACACCATTGGCGGCGACCTCGGCGGCGGCGAGGGCCACAACGGGTGGGTCTCTTGCGTCAGGTTCTCCCCCAACACCTTCCAGCCCACCATTGTCTCCGGATCCTGGGACCGCACTGTCAAGGTCTGGAACCTTACCAACTGCAAGCTGCGCTGCACTCTGGATGGCCACGGCGGCTATGTTAACGCCGTCGCCGTGAGCCCCGACGGTCGCTGTGCGCCTCCGGCGGAAGGACGGTGTTACTCTGCTGTGGGATTTGGCTGAGGGAAGAGGCTGTACTCGCTGGACGCGGGCTCCATCATCCACTCCCTCTGCTTCTCGCCCAACCGCTACTGGCTCTGCGCTGCGACGCAGGACTCTGTCAAGATCTGGGACCTTGAGTCGAAGCACGTTGTGCAGGACCTCAAGCCCGACATCCAGATCTCCAAGAACCAGGTTTGTCTCTACCCTTTACCTGTGCTTAGCATACTTCTTATCTTTTGATGAGAGAAATCGTGTAGGTTAGGATCTGTAGTTACTTGTACATGAGTTACGTTCGGATGCCTGCCTTATTGATGAGTTAGTCCGTTAATGCCACTTGTATATGTTATGTCCAACAAATGTCCAGTACTATGCAGAATTGTTGGTGTGCTGAATCTTTAGTGCTAATGCATATAGAAATATATTTTGGGTAAAGATGGTGTGTGTGCTGTGGCATAATTTTGTATCACTTCAATTCTGTTCTATCAATTTTCCATTTGTTTTACATGTGCTCTTGTTTTACAATCTGTCTCATGAGCTGTAGGCCTATAGACTCTAATCTATTGTTTCCACTCAGCATTACACCATGATATTAAAGCACTATTACCAAATTTTATATGTTGTCCTCATCCAGTCTAATTGTTTGGTATCAGCATTGTACCTCACCTAGTATGTCGTTGCTCAAGATATGCTCGTGCACATATATAATGTTGAACTCTGTTAATGTCATTTCGTTCTATGTAAGACTGCCAACAGTGCACTAGTGTTGACTAATTTTAAGGGGGTGTTTGGTTCCCAGGACTAAATTTTAGTCCATGTCCCATCGGAAGTTTGGACACATGCATGTAGTATTAAATATGGACTAAAAGATAACTAATTGCACAGATTGTGACTAATTTGCGAGACGAATTTTTAAGCCTAATTAGTCCATGATTTGACAATGTGGTGCTACAGTAAATATGTGCTAATGGCGGATTAATTAGGCTTAGTAAATTAAATCTCGTAAATTAGTCTCCATCTGTCAGCCTGTTCGGTTGGCTGGTTCGTTTATGTGAGAGAGAAGTACTGCTGGCTGGTTCTTATGAACAGTGTCCATATGAGGGGGCTGGCCAGCCCCAGCCGATCACGCTATGTGTAATTAGTTTTATAATTAACTCATGTTTAGTCCTCCTAATTAGCATCCGAACGTCTGATGTGACATGGATTAAAATTTAGTCTGTGGAACCAAACACCTGTAGTGTTTATTTTCAATTGTGCATAGGGACTATAGCCTGCAATGGATTTTCTGCTATAATGTGTATCATGACCTATCATTTATACATGTACAAACATTTTATATACTCATGAATCCAGATACCAGCAGTTAGGTAGGTATTTACTTTGGTGTAAATTGTCTTTCCATGTTGGACTATGAAATTGGTAGAAACTCCTGTTACAGGATGTATTATATATACGTTCAGTGTAATTATTATTTTTGGATGGATGATTATCTACTATTTCTCTGATTGATATATTTAACTGTTTCTGGTGCAATTGTATAGATCCTGTACTGCACAAGCTTGAGCTGGAGCGCAGATGGAAGCACCCTCTACACTGGCTACACCGATGGGTCTATCAGGGTTTGGAAGATCTCTGGGTATGGCTACGCCGGCTAGATGTTGAAAAGCCACTTGAAGGTCTAGGCAGTCTTATTTGGCAAAACATTGTAATGTTGTCAAGTTTTTGAAGTCGTGAGCTATATCGTCTGTTTGGTACTTTCTGGTCACCCAACTATCTAAGCTTAGCTTTGTTAATGAGCTAATCGGTACTATGAAGAATCTATTTTGCACCATGGTTCTGTTTTGCATCTGCTTTTTATTATACACATTATATATGCTTCAGTCGTGCAACCAACTGATGCCTGTTATTGGGTTGATGTGCTGTGCTTTTCCGTTGCTATGTCTCCAGTAATGCGACTATTGGTTAGAAAATAAGCATTCATAACCTTTCAATCTATGCTTGCCTCGGTTGGATACATGAGCTAGTCAGGACTCAGGATGGATGACCTTGCCCACCTCAGTTCATCCTGAGTTGCAGCCGAGAACATGAACTGCTTCTATGATGACGCTGCCTCTGTGATGCCAGTATCGATGCCATCCATGCTTCGTACTGACTGCTGAGTTGCAGCCGAGAACATGAACTGCTTCTGTGATGCAAGTATCGGCAGCGGAGAACATTAACTGCTTCTGTGATGCAAGTATAGATGCCATCCACCATCTATCTCATCTGACCTCTCCGAATTCCCGAGTAACGAACCATGGGGTATAGTTGGTTGGGGCATATCATCATACGGAGGGAGTGGTCTTAATATCGTTGTCTTTCTTTAACCTTTGGGAGGTCGAACCACTGACCTATTTCTTTGACCTTGGGACCGATAGGAAGAACAAAAAAAAAAGCAAGGACGAGTGCTTGGCTGGTACACAGGAGCACTGTAGCTCGGCTGATTTTGGATGATTAAATAGTATTCTGCGAGAGAGAATAAGATGAAACAATCCGAGACCGTACCAGCCGAACACGCTGCATCCGATGGGATGGAATCGCCTGCAGCCGTGCTCAGCTCGAAAGGGCTGAGTTGCAGCCGAGGACATGAACTGCTTCTGTGATGCGAATCGATAGTTGATTTTTTTGTTTGAGGAACAGTTGATTTGCTATGGGCATGATTGGTTTTTTGCTGAGGGAAAGTCCGCTTTTCCTCCGTGAACCAGCATAAAACTAAATAAAATCTATAACTAAGTTATACATTATCGAATAAGTATAAAATTTTTACTACAATTTAAGCATACAATAATTAGTCCACCATAAAAATTTCACCACAATTAGACTATAGAAACTGCAGCTACGAATTATTTCATTTAATTACAGAAAAGCATAGATCTAAAGCTACAGCACAAACTTTGTACTAAAGCATACCATATTATATGTTCACTGTGTAGATCTACTAATATGAAGTCCAACGAAATTAGATTTTTTATTTTATAATTTTTCTGTGATTTACTATGATTTTTTAAAGATTCAGCCGTAATAAACAAAAAAGAAAAAAAGAAAAACGCCTTTAAAACCGCTTATAACCGGATAAATAATTTTAAAAGTTGAGGGAGGTAATATGAACTTTTTCCTTCTCGTTACTATTCGATTAAGCCACGGAGAAACGGTGCTTGTCTTTGGTGGTTCTCTTGTCCAAGCATGTGAGGGCCCAGTTAGTGTGAAACCAGCCATTGCGTTAGTGTGAAACCAACCAATGCAATGCTTCTCCGATGCGTTGATCTACTATATGCTTCTACATTGGTGTGTGATTTCAATCGTGCGACTAGAAAATTTGTTTGTGCTCGGTTTTATGTTCAAATCTGAAGCATTTCTGTTTCAGGTTGTGTGCTAAGTTCTTTCCTGAAAAAATGCTTATGTACCTTTTTAACAATTTTGGACCTATCCTAGATTCAATAAGCATGGGTGCATAAGATGAACGTCGTTTCCGGTTTGGGCCTTGTTTAGATTGCCTCCAAATTTCAAGTTTTTTCACTCTCTCTCCATCACATCAATTTTTGAACGTATGCATGGAGTATTAAATGTAGGTAAAAAAAATAACTAATTACACAGTTTGGTTGTAAATCACGAGACGGATCTTTTGAGCCTAGTTAGTCCATGATCGGACAAAGTTTGTCAAATACAAACGAAACGTGCTACAGTGTCCATGTCGTAAAAATTTGCAATCTAAACCGAGCCTTAGCCAGGTTCCGCTGGCTTGGGTACCATTAGCAATTGGGTTCCCTCGAGTCATTTGCCTGGTGCTCGCTTGCACGGATCATGCATGGTCTTTGACCACCTCGGCAGTCTATCAGGCAGGCTCATCCCCATCATACCTTTCCCATTTAGAATTTCATCCATGATGATGCCTTGGCGTACAACTCTGAGTTGTATTCAAATCGTTGTCATTTGTCAATTGTTAATAGCAAATCTTATAATCAACTCGCGTCTGCAGTTTCCCATGCGACAGCACCACCACGACACTTCACCAACTGCTCATCGGCCAATCAGAGAGCTCAGGGCCAAGTCCTCTGAACCGGCCCAATTATTCAACTCAAATGACCTCATATTCGCAGCTTCGTCGCAACCGTGGCGCGCTGATTTGTTCTCTAAGCACGCGCCAATTGTTCCAGTTGCTATCGGGTCAGCCATCGCCATGTCGTCGTCCCTGTACAAGCAGCTGGGCCTTTCTGGAGCCGGCTCCCCGCTCACCGGCCGCCACCTCGCCCTCCTCATCCTCGGCGCCGGATTCCTCGCGCTCACCGTCTTCGTCGTGCACCCCAACGAGTTCCGAATCCAATCCTTCTTCGCAGGCAGCAGCAGCAGCTGTGGCGGCCGCCCCGGCACGGACGCACCTGCTACCGCAGTCGGCAGTCCCCATGTTGCCACCACCGCAGCAGCACGGGCGCCGCCGCCAGCTCCGGACGACGACTACGTGCGCGTCCTCATCGGCATCCAGACGCTGCCGAGCAAGCGCGCGCGGCGGCACCTGCTGCGGGACGTCTACTCGCTGCAGGCGCAGGAGCACCCGTCGGTCGCCGGCAGCGTGGACGTCCGGTTCGTGTTCTGCAACGTGACGTCCGCCGACGACGCGGTGCTCGTGGCGCTGGAGGCCATCCGCTACGGCGACATCATCGTGCTGGATTGCGCGGAGAACATGGACAACGGCAAGACGTACACCTTCTTCTCCACCGTGGCCCGCTTGTTCAACGGCAGCAGCAGCAGCAGCACCGCCAGCAGGAGGTACGACTACGTGATGAAGGCCGACGACGACACGTACCTTCGGCTGCCGGCGCTGGTGGCGTCGCTGCGCGGCGCGGCGAGGGAGGACGCCTACTACGGGCTGCAGATGCCGTGCGACACGGAGAGCTTCTACCCGTTCCCGCCCTTCATGTCCGGGATGGGGTACGCGCTGTCGTGGGACCTGGTGCAGTGGGTGGCGTCGTCCGACCTGGCCCGGCGCGAGCAGGATGGGCCCGAGGACATGTGGACGGGGCGGTGGCTCAACCTCGCCGGCAAGGCCAAGAACCGCTACGACAACGCGCCGAGGATGTACAACTACAAGGGCGCGTCGCCCGACAGCTGCTTCCGGCACGGCTTCGTCCCGGACACCATCGCCGTGCACATGCTCAAGGACGACGCGCGGTGGGCCGAGACGCTCGCCTACTTCAACGCCACCGCCGGACTCCCGCGCTCCAGCGGCCTCTACCACCTGCCGCTGCCGGCGGCCAGCCCCTGATGACGAGCTCGATCAAGTGTCGTTGAACCGTTCGTCGTCCTTGCCGGTTCGCTCTCGTCGGCCCCGGATGCGTGCGTTGAATATTGTGATCAAGGGTTGGTGGCGTTAGTTAGGCCAGAGGATAGGTAATAGGATACGTGTTCGTTCGGTGTTGCTGAATAATACGCTGATACAATGACGTAATTTTTTTTTTTTTTTTGGTTTTGAGATTTCGAGTCTCGAGTGATGCCTAATCGACTTTGACTGTCTTGTTTGATGTCAGCCAAGTGACGCTGTTGCGATCAAAAAGTTGTCATTTCTCTTTTTTTCCAAAAAAAAACCACAAAAAAATCGGGAAAGACTTGACTGATGTGACAAGGGGGAAAAAGTACTGGCCAAGCCGGCACACGGCGCCACTGCCGCTACAGGAATCCACGGCACGATAGGCCTCAGAGAGCAAAGAGGCCGATGGCGAATGAATTTGGGCCGTTAGGCAAATCAGCCATAGCGAGCGAAGGCGGGCCAGCTAGAGCAGCTGAGCAGAAAGGGCCGAGGAAGATGGCGATCTAGCAAAACGGCAAAACCTGTGACGAGTCTAAAGTGAACAGCCCAAAGCAAAATCAGCCCACACACTTTATTTTAGGGTCTACGAAAGTTTTTTTTTCCTAATCTAAAATTTAAAAAACAGTATTGCTATGATTTGGGCTATTCTGTCAACCGATTTCTAGGCCGGCGTACGTGCTGTGTTGGGGCTCACACTGCTGACGTGTACATACGTGCGTGTTGCCGTCTTCCGAATCCATCTGCCGTGCTGCTTAGGAGTACGTACGATCGAAACTCGAGAATTAACACAAGGCCAAGCAACGCCTGACTTGTCATACTTGGAACCCTGTAGCATGCACAATACAACCCCGTAGCTGCGAATTTGTTTTTTTTTTAATTTATGAATAATTTGACATATATTTCTCTGATATATATCTGAAATCCATAGAAATAATTTGTAATTTTTTTTGAATTTTTTAATATATATTTGTATTATCCTCAAATTACACATCTGCATACAATAAATTACACTTAAGAAGTCAATGTAAATATAAAAATAAGTCAGTATAAATATAGCTTGAAAACAGTATAAGTGTATGAGAAAAAATCAGTTGACAGGAGAGGCCAAAACAACTTAACGTGACCTAGAGAGATAAAAAAAAGGCGCAGATTCCATTCATGCCACACGCACCTCTGCCACACGAGCCATGCAAGCTATAAAGCAAACGGCAGCACTACACGGTACATGCGCTGCATGGACGCCAGTCAGCCATACGTTCCGATCGCCGGCGGCCTGATACAGCCATACGCCCTCGGTACTGGTCCATTCCCTTC